CCAAAGTTACGGCAGCTACGGTTCCACAAGAGAGAGGGGCGCTGCAGGTCTGGTATTAGGCATCTGAGGTGAAACTGAAAGCAACCCCATGGCGGAGATTTCGGCCTGAGACCCAGCTTCAAGTGCTTGGAGTGCTCTGCATTCGAAGAACAGTCCGGGCCCCCAAATACGAAAAGCTGCAGAACTGAAGACTGAACTCCGAAGCTTCCGGCCTGCTTGCTTGGAGCTTCGAAATCCTTCTGCTCCTCTTCTTCCAGCTCCTAATCAGGGCAAGGCATGGCCTTCAGGGCCTGGGATGAGGGTCGAGGGCTTTGGCCAAAGACGCTCGGGGCAGCTGCAAGCCTCGGCATACGACACACCACCGACGCTTAAGCCCACCGATTTAAAGCCGTTTTTCGAAAGAGGTTGCGGGTTTCAAGACCGAAGCGTCCACAGAGCCTGAGACTGCTGGGTAACATCTGCACATAGCTGCGCATACTTTGGTTTTTTTGAAGACACCAGAGGAAGGGCTCGTCTGTTGAGACCGTGTTGGCCAGAAGTTGCGGATGCAAACTCAGCCAAAGGCCCCAAGCCCAGAAAGCTATCGAGAGCCCGGGCCGCGTTCCTGCACCCTAATCTCAAGCCCTTGGACTCAGACCCAACTGCCTAACCCCATCACACAGAACCTGAGCCAATGGCATGTCCCAAAGCGAATTCGACAACTGAAAAACGTAACTAACCTCAGACCCTAAGCCCCGAAATGCCAAACCCTCAGCTCGAAACCTCGCCCATGGCAAGCAATGCACTCGGCTACACATAACTGACCCCACGACGTTCCCATCCCTTCCGCTTACTCCCCTCCCTCGTCTATGTCCGCAAGCTTCCGGGTTTCATCGTGGAAGGGTATGTCTGAACAACTTCAAACCGCCCCGAGAAAACGATGCGCAGCAAGACCAGATTTGAAGGCGTCTCTGTGCCCAAGTATAGAATCAACTCAGCATAATCAGAATGGGGTTTTGGGTGTATATTATACTAAAATTCTAACAAGTTGCCTCCGCGGCCCTTCGGCAGGTCTTCCAGTACCGCTCGCCCTGGCTGCGGTGGCTTGCTGTCTAAGCGAGTTCAAAAGGGGCAACCCAGAACTCGTTGATGCATAGGCTTTTAGGTATAACAGCCTGTCACACTAGGCATAGAAGAATAGACTGGAAGAAACGCTAGAGCAAACTTACATGCGAGCTGCTCAGCTGACACCACAGTAAACCCTAAACCGAACACTAAGCGCTAAACCTGAGATCAAACCCAACCACTTGAGCCCCAAACCTTGATTGAACTCTCAAATCTCTCGCAAAGCAGGTTGTCTTCGAAGGCTTGGGCCCCCAGCTCTGAGGGCCCCTGCCCGGGCGTCCGCTTTCCGCCTGTCTTTGGGTTTTGGGCCTTTGGTGCTTTAGGGCGCGAGGTTGGTGGGGTTTCGGGTTGGGGTGCTTTTGAATTGGTTGGATGGTTGTTCTCCGTTCTTTTTCTGAAGGGTGGTTGTTTAAACTTGGGTCTCCATCATTGTATGCTTCTCAGCCTCGCTCGTCTTCACTCAATTCTGATAGATTGCGTCTTTGTTAATCCGAGTGCAGTGCGTACCTTAAACTTGGAGTGTTAAACAGCATCTTTCGACTTCCACGATCGCTTCCCAAATCGTTCGAGATTCCCTCCAAATCTTGCTGTGGACGGAGCCTCTTCGCCACAATGCCTGCCACAAAAACAGTGGCGGCTACGGGCGCTGACGGCCCACCTTGGAAAGAGCAACATTTCTGGAGGTGTTGAAGGGAAGCAAGCTCCGAACTTAAAGCATTCCAGTGCAAGCGCCCAGTGGCTCCAGTCTAGCTCCTGTTATGCTGTTCTCTGCGCCAACTGACACTCTGAAAGCAACCAAAGGCCCCAGACATCCTAAACCCCCAAACCCCCAGAGGGCCGAAACAAGCATACAAACCGATTTGTTCTTGTTCCATTCGAGGCCTCGCTGCGGAGCCTCGCGCAGAGGCCGCCCCGGCTGTGACACGAGCCTGTAGCTGGTTGCGGAAGGGGGTCCCGGGGTTTTGGGGCATAAGAGGCCTGCGTTGGGGTACTAGCCTAGGAAAATACCCAGAACCCCATACCCCGGACAAACCTCACTCCCCCAACCTCAACATGAAGTCCTCTGACCCCATAACCCCGAAACCTCGAACTGCCGGAATCCCAACCCTAAACCCCTAAACCCTGAGTACCAAAGTCCTATTTAGAGCCTAAACCCTAAACCCTGAAGCCCCAAATATCGATCAGCAACATCCCGCATGTTGCCACAGGTTATGTCTTTCTCATAAAAAGCCCCGCAAAGCTCTGCAAGACCCTGCACAGAACCAATCTCGCAGTCTTTCGCCTCTCAAACTCTATAAAGAAACACTCGTGGATCTTTATCTTAGGATGGGGCTTGGGGGTCTATTGCAGTAAAGTTAGTAAAGTGATAAGATTGCACATTGCATCTATATATGGTTGCCGAGAGAATGGAGAGAGAAGAGAGACAGCGAGAGAGACACAGAGACAGAGATGGAGAGAGAGAGAGAGTAAGAGCGCGGGAGAGGGAGAGCGTGAGAAGGGGGGTGAAGGGGTGAGGGTACATATATAGAGGCTCGGACAGTCAGTCTTACAGTGCCGTTCGGTCACCTCAGCTTCTTCCGTTGGGGCTTCACGACAGAATTTGTTCGCTTGCAGTCAGTGTTGAAGACATAGGCGGGCTCGAGGTTCGTCGTACTCTTTAACATTGGATGTCTTGCTGCAGTACGAGAATCTGCAACCCAGTTAGAGGTAGAGCCATGAGTATGAATAGGGCCTCGGCGCAATAATGTTGTTGCCCGCTGCCCAGGCTCATACACTCGTTCCTGCCCTCGCGGGCCTCGCTACGGGCAACGTCGCTGGCGCCGGCCCCAGGACAAAAGCCTTCGAAGCAGCGAGGAGCTTGCATCACCTATGTGAATTCTCCCAAACGGAAGAATCATCACGTATTGCTTCGTCTTTCTGTTCTTGCTAGTGTGCTTGCTATGATGACTGCGGGCATTTCCACTGAGCTGTTCTAGCCGAGATAGGACTGAAATCGCAATGCGCAAGAGTCCAAACCAAAAGTTTGGACCAGGTAGCCTAAAACACTGACACCTGCAGTCCAAAGCCCCAGATCCCTAAACCCTAAAATCTTAAACATGGCTCCCCCAAATCACCAAAGCCCCTCCTCAGCAAGGTGCGCCATAGCGGCTGCTGGGAGCTTCTAGCCCAGAATCGAGACTACAACGTCCAGCAGTGACTTGATCGGTGGTTTCGGATGTCCCTTGAGGCTTAGAGTGTCAGCTTCAGGGTGCAGCTTTCTAAACTCTGGACTTGGGGGCTTTGGAGTTGGCTGAAGCTTTGCTGGAATCTACGGACCCTCAAATACTGGGAGTATCTGGGCTTGGTTTGGTGAGACGTAACGCTCTAGCTGGAAGTCTGTTGCGCACCGAGCCACCAAATCATGCAGCCAACCCTTAGCCATGCAAACAAGCATCTGATTTGGCACAAGCCATTTAGCAGTTCTCAATTTGCCTCTCCCCTAGGACATTTCCAAATCCCCGAGTCCCAACAAATCACCTATTCTGCCAAGTATGCTCCTCCTGTACAAATGGCAACGGGTTGAGCCAGCTTGGTAGCAGCTGGCTGCTGAAACCGGCAAGAGCCGTCCTCGCAAAGACCCTGAAGCCCCAAACTAAGAGAGGAATTTCATTGAGACGCTGTCCCCCCTCACTTTTTGCTTCGGACGGCTGCTTTTCAGGTTTCTAGGCCTGATCACGTGCCACTGGCGGCTCTGCTCCAAGGTCTTGGAGCACGCGCGGGCTGGGCTAATAACGCCTGGAGGCTTAGAGTCTTAGAGTTTAGGGTGTAGGATTTCGGCGGCTCTTGGTTTAGGAGTCCCTGGTGCTAGGTTTCAACATCGATCTTTGAACGTGTAGGGGTTTGGGCTGAGGGTGCGAAGGCTTTTGGTTGTGGGCTGTAGTTGTTGGAGGTCAGGTGATGTAGCAGCAACAACAACAAGCATGTAACATCATCACGCCGAACTTCTGCCAAAACGCTGTTCATTCCTGAACATGGTCGCAGAAGGAATGGAGTTCTCTCCTTGATTGACTTCTGTTTTGCAAGGATGCTAAGCATCAAGCAGATACGGCTCCATCTGCGATTGTTTCGATCCGTGTACAATGAGTTAAGGCATGCCCGAACCAGTTGAAAATGTAGAGGACCAGGTAAAACCCTGCCCTAAACCTCAGTTTCAAACCCCTTCCTTAAACAGGATTGCAAAGGTTTGGTATGTCTTGGTGTCTGTGTGTGTGTGCTTTCGATGTCTTCACTGCCATCCTTCGACAACTTCAACTCATCTTCTGAGGCTCAGAGCACGGGCGGGTGGCAGGCACAAGTTTGCGTTCATACTTGTGAGGTGCTCAGGGTGTAGACGGTGTAGAGTTTGGCCGAATCGAGGAGTCTCGGACTGTGGAATTCCAGGGCCTGACTCGGTCAAACCCTTAGCTGCATTGGCTCTTGGGGAAAGTGGTCCTGCAGAGCTTTGCCTTAATTTCAGAAGTTGGGCTGTTTGAGTCGCCTGCTCGTGCTGCACCCGCCCGACTCCTACGTGAGGTGACGAGGCAAAACCCTCAGAGGCGTGCTTCGGTCGCCTGGGCTCGAGCTGACCAGAAACTGCACCTCTGCAAGGAAAGCATTTCCGGTGTTAGCGGAGCTTTTGGGTGACACGTTCTTTTCATCAAACGGATTCCAGCGGCTACCGACAGCCTATCTACGCAGCGGCAAGGGAGGTCTGGCTGGTGGAACCGACGCAGAGTGACATGCGCACTGCACTAGCTTTCCAAACGGATCCCCTGGCCAACTAAGGGCATCAGCTTCCGGTCAGACCCCTATGCCGCCAGATACGTCGCCCGCGAGACACATGGCAAGCTGCGTGTCGCGCAGGAAGTGTGCAGCAGCTAACTGCTGTCGCTTTCGCTGTCCTGGGAGGTTTGGGGTTTCGGTGCTTTGCTAGGTCTAGGGTTGAGGAAGGAGAGGCTGTCAGGCTGTCGACGACAGAGGCACTTCACAAACCTTGAGTCCACGACCCTGAAACGTATGCCTTAGAGCCTCAGCCCTCTCAGTCCTAAGCCCTTCCCCGGCTTTACCGGCATCACATAACCAGAGAAAGGTGGAACAGACGGAAACCTGGAGACACTTGGACGATCAAACCCTAGAGTCCTCAAGTTCCTCAAGTTCCATGCTCAACTCTACACCCCTCTCAGAAGTTATACGGGTATGTGGCGTAAGCCTTTGCAGGGCTCGTAAATCCCTAGACTGAAGAAGCCCACAGATCCTTCAGGCATTCGTCCTTGGACTCTCGGACCTCGGAAAACCCCAACCGAAACTTTGAAATCGGAAATTTCCAAGCTCCGACCTCGTCAGAATCGCTCTCGTCCTTCTTTTTCTTCTTGTCTTTGCTAGGCTTTTTCACCTGGAGAGTGCCGTCGGATCTTGAGGGCATCAGGTCGTCAGCAGGGCTTCGGGTTGACCCCAACCCTCGAACCTCAAAGCCAATGTCTGATATGGACCCCGGTTTCGGGATCCCCTGCACGAACAAACAAAACTCTGGGATCGTCTTGTGCAAGACTCTGAGCGTCAGAGCTTGGGGCACCCTCTCGTGCAGGAATTTGGCTGCGGGGAAGGGCTTCGAAACCACAGCTTACTGGCCTCTTTCTTAGATTTCTTGTCCTTCTTTTTCGAGCTCTTGCTCTCCTTCTTGTCCTTTTTGTCGCCTTGGTCTACAGAGCTTGCAAAGCTTTGTATCGGACTCTCAAGCGCAAAGCGAGCGACTGGACGAAGTGGGCATTAGGGCATTTGGGGAGTTCCGTTCATCTGAGACTCACGGGCTGGGAAGTTGCGAGGCTCATGGGCCTGGGAGTACAGAAGTCGTCATATCGAAACACGACGCAGACGTCGAGCAGTTTGTTGCAAGCGCTCGCCGCCCATGACCGCACAAACTTGTAGCTGCGATCACTGAGCAATTCATGAAACTCTTGAATCTCCCAGGGAAGCCGGCCCTGACAGCAGGCAAAGTGGCTCTTTTTGGAATCTTTCGCGGTCTTTTTGCTCTTCGGTTTCGCCTGGCAGCTTCGAGCGTTGTGGTTCAGGACTTGAGCTTCATGCTCACGGAGACAAGCTTGCTTCTGTCGTCTCAGCTTCAGGGGGGCGAGCTCCTGCCTTACTTCACGAGGCCTCTCAGACCGCAATCACAAGCTGTCGACTTTAACAAGTGGCACACAGCGCTGCAGCGTGAAGAACGGAAGGTCTGGGGGCAGCGGAGAGGGACACGAGACATGAATCAATGTTTGTGTAGGGTCCAAGATCAGGCTGCGGAAACCTGAAGTTGTCCACCCGGGCTTTAAGGTTTGAGTTGTCTCTCCTTAGAACGAAGATCCTGAACCCTGAAACCAAACTTTCAGAGTCCCAACCACCAAACCCGAGCAGAGCAAAAGCCTCCGACTCGTCCGACTCGGAATCCGAGGACTCCTTCTTCAGAACTGCTATGAGGGCTGGTGGAGATGTTGTTGTACCGGCAAGAGGGTTTGGAGAGCCAAAACTGTAGACTTCGCGGTCAGGGGTCCAGATTTAGTTTCGGATTTGGGCCAGCTCAGGTTGCTTGAACCACCCAGTCCATGGCAAAGAGGGGGCATAGGCTTCGGGAAAGCCGACGCCAACCTAAACCCAAATCAAACCTGTACAATCCCGCATAAGAAGCTCAAGCCCAAGAATGGAATCTTCAAAGCCGCATTTTGTCCCCTAAATTTAACTCTGACCCCACTGCAGACCGGAATCGCCTGAATTATGAAGTCAGACATCGAAGTCAGTCCTCGTCGTCATCGTTGTCGTCGTCATTGGCATCGTCATCATCCTCCTCACTGCCATCCTTGGAGCTGGCTCAGGAGCTAAGGATTCGGGAAATGCAACCTGTTCAGAAACGGTGATGGTCTCTGGGAGGGTGCACGAACGTACGTACCTGCATCCTTACATACATGCATGCATGCATGCATGCATGCATGCGTGCATACACACACAGATATACATACATGATCATACATGCTCGCACACACACACACACACAGATGTGCATGCATGCATACATACGTACATGCATACATACGCAAAAAAACCATTTATGCATGCATGCACGCGCTCATACAGCATACATGCACTACATAGAGTACATAGAACACATACATCACACATGTTACAGACATGACAGACATACCATGGCATAACATAACATTCCTTTACGATTCATTACACTGCATACGTACACTACATACCATACATACATTCGTGCGTGCCTATTCATATGTACATTCACATGCCTGGCTGCCTGCCTACTTGCCTGCCTACACCGGATCAGACACGTGCACATACTACTGACACATATGTACCTGTACGGATACAGAGTCATAGACATGTATAACTTGCAGTAGCAGCTTCGACATCCCGATCGGAGTCGGAGTCATCATCGTCGTCGTCTGCCTTTTTGGCAGGCGCCTGCTTCGTTGGACCCTACGGTGTCGGAGCTTTGTGTTGATAACTGTTTCGGGCTCAGGGCTGGGCCAGGGGAGCACCCAGAAAAGCCGAAGCCATTGACAATTGGAGGCTGGTGCGCAGGTCGTAAGCCGCGCCAGACCACGGTTTCGAGAACGAAATTCTGAAGCCATATCTTGGATCAAACCGTGTCACCTAGGTTCATCAAATCTCACCGGCGAACATGCTGAGCTTTTCTATGGCACCAGTGGTCCCTGTCTCAAACAAAGTTCAACCTGCATCTACTTCCGCCTTGGAGCTTTTGGCGGGCTTTGCCGACGCACTCTTCTTCTTCTCCTCCTCCTCATCATCATCTGAATCTTCGTCCTGTTTTCGGGCTTCGGGCTGCGAGCTCTTCGAATTGCTCAATTTGTGCGTGGAAGATGTCTCGCACGAAAGGTAACGTGCTCAGGCTCAGATGTATTGAAACACGTGACCATAGAAGACAAGCATGTTGACAGAATGTGCAAGATGGAGGTGCTAAATGCTGCCGACGAAAGAATGACTGAGGGGCATGTTCGTCAGACGTTCCCTGCATGCTGAAGATGGAGAGGCTGGAAGCATCCATGCTGGCGCTGTGTAGATCTGCGAACAACCCACACATGAAGCTACAGAAGTCCAGGACCAAGCCAGTTCAAGCACCAAGCCAAGACCAAGCTGAGCTAATCAGTGCAAGAAGCGCATCCCGAAGCTTCGGCGAAAGTATTCATTCATCAGTTCAGAAACTTCAAGCTCAACAAGCCGAAAGAGCTGCAACTTCAATCCCAAAGCACGGTTTAGGAGAGAGGGTTCATCTGCCTCGCTTGCTCGAATCCCATGAAAGTCATGAAAGGTGTTGCAGCGAGGTTTTCCAGATGTCAGCTTCTACAAGCTATAGGTTATAGGTGTAATAGGCGTAATAGGCCAACAGGTGGTCCGGGATGGCCTCGCCCTCCTTTTCTGTCGGGCTCTCTTCGGCGGAGGCCTGGGTGAACGCGCAGCATACCTCAGGTACTGCCTGAACACCGTTAGAAAGATTAGAAAGAGCTCACACGAAGGCATGCTGTATGCTTGTACGTGATGTATACATCGATTAAGGGCAGTACTCAACACAAGCAAGCATCTTCATCATCATAACACAGCCATTATGTCCTAAACCCTAAACCCCAAAGCCCCTAAGCCCTAAACCCCAAACCCCTGAACCCTAAACCCTAAAAACCTAAACCCTGAACCCCCAAACCCTAAACCCCTCAACCCTAAACCCTAAACCTGACCAGCCTATCAGCCGATCCGCTGATCGGCTGATGTGCAAACCCACTGTGCGGGCACAATGATTTTGTGGCAACCTTATCTTGGGTCAAGTGAGATCGTGCCTTGTCTTCCTCGTCTGCTTTTGCATCCTCGGCCTCCTTCTCCTCCTCCTCTTCCTACCAACCGGGAATCTAGCAACTAAGTCAGGCGCAATTTAGTTCAAGGTCTGAGATGGTCTGATGAGGTTGGAGACTTAGGTTTGTCACAGTCGGAGGGCTGTGGCGGCCGGCTGGAGTTGCCAAGGAACTGTCAGACCTAGCTTCCATGCACACAGGCCGAGGCACAACCCCAACATCGAGGCCTGGGAACGACCCTCCACATGGCGAAATGCCTATGCTGAAACACAGGCCGAGGCCATAGTCGGAAGTTTCAAGAAAGTTTTGGAGCTGCCGGGGGACCCAGACCGAGCTTCGGTCAGCACAGCCCTACTCTCAAGCCAGCGCTGAAGTGTCCCCAGTCCCAAACCCTGCAGACTAGGCCAACCGTTAGCAGTCCTCTTCCTCCTCTTCGCTGTCTTCCTCCACCTCGCGAGGGTTGAGTGTGATCGAGCGGCACAGAAGCTGACCGAACCTGAGGCTAAACGACCAGAACTCCACCCCGAGAAGGACACCTTCAGAAGTCTCAAACCCGAAGCGATGTAATTTCACACGGCTTTCGTGCTCGGCACCTCTGTCCTCTGCAGGTCAGACTGACATCGGAATGACGGCGTAGTCGTGACCCGGAGAACTCGACTTCTGATCTGCCAGAACAAGCATTAATGCCGTGAAGTCGACCCCCCCCTACCACCTTGTCCGTCTCAGCACTGCCCTCCTCGTCATCGTCGTCCTAGCCAAGGGTCGTCGCCAAAAGCAAGAGCTACGGGACTCCTAATATTATTGGGCTTGAAGAGCTGGACTGAGTTTGCCACATAGTCGAAAGAAAGGCACGATGAAGCGACACATCAAGACTTCTTCATTCTTTTCAACGGCTGGCCACAACGAAGGTCCCAAATCCGCCCAGGCCATGAAGCCCAAGCCCCAGGAGCATCAAAGCGTAAATGTCACGCCCAAAACCCCGAAGTGTCGGAAAGGGACCAGCAAAGATGGAAGTTTCCGTCCGGCCATGCCGTCCGTCCACTATCTCGATACCCCAAGTCTCAAATCGAAAACACAGACTTGGAACACAGACTTGAAGAACAACTCCTTCTTTTCATCAGAGACGGCAGATGCAGGGGTGAGGACGGCTTTCTTCGGCTTCTCCTACCGGGGCAGTGGACTCAAAGGGCAACATCAGGATTGGACTTCGAGATCTTAGGCTTCGGGTGGTGCGGGTGGAGGGTGCAGGGTTTGGAATCGAATTTAGGTTTAGGATTGAAAGGCGAGTGATGCAAGGTGCCAGTGGAGCTTCAAGGTTTCGTGCTACCTCCTACAATGGATGCAGGAATCTTGCACTGCCTCCCGGCTGACTTCTGACACCTTTCAACGCTGATCTTCAACGTTGAGGACTATGGATGCCGGGGCGATGGGGTGGTGCAACACATATTCGTCATGGGAATCCATGTGTTCCGGAGGATAACGAATCAATCTTGAACACGGGGCACGGGCTACCTGTTGCCCCATGTCAAGGCAGGTGGTGCCACAGTTTGCTTCACGGGCTTCCGGCTTTAGGGTGTCGTGGTTTAGGGAGTCAACTTGCGGTTCACAGTCTGGCGTGACCCCCCCCCCCTCCACCGAACGGGAGAGAACGTGGGACTTTCGTAAACCATGCTCTGCAATCTCATATATCCTTAAACCGAGACCATCAGCACTTAAAACCGGGGTGGCAGGGAGACATGGGACCTGACATTTAGAAGAAAGCCTTTGCGTACGACATGTTCACATGGAAGGTGGATCTCCAAATTTGTGCCCTTCCGATACGAACGGCACAGTGCGTGCTGTCCGACCTCAAGCCACCGACGCAATTGCAAAGCTCTGCGGCACTTCACGGTGTCTGGGTAAATACACTAATATCAAACCTAGATCTCAGCTCCACGTGCATCCCTGAACTCTCATCCCCGCATCCCCCGATTCCTAGACATCAGACCTTCATCCCAAATCATTTTGCATCAGCTGTCGTGCAAACCGAGCTGCTCGAAAAACAAACAGCACAACCAAGGTGACAAACTCTCCATCCTGCCTCTTTCTCCTTGCTGGACTCCGTCTTGCCCTGGCCGTCCAAACCCTCAAGGCTGGATCTGATAATTTGGAAACCTACTGCTAGGGCCAAAGGTCTGTCCCTCGGGCTTTTCTGGTCTAAAGGGGCTCCTCTCCTGCACCCAGGCAGCCTCCGGATCGAATGGTGTTGCAATTTATTTTTCAATTGAAAGTACCTTAAATATACGGTCAGGAATACAGTAGTATAGGACAGGATGAACCTTACATGGCAGAAGAACTAGCGTTTAAAGTTGATGATTCCGAAGGTTCTGGTTCGGCTCTTTAGGACCCCTTGGTCTGCATTTGGGATCAAAACGAAGCGGGGTCAAATGTACCTGGTTGCACTGTGGGGTTTTGAAGGTTTCAGGCGCGTCAGGCTTTAGGCGCGCAAGCGTGCAGGTTCGTAGAGCACAGCTTGTAAAAGCTTGAGGTGCCTAGCTGTGGCATTTTCAAGCAACTGTCCGCCGGCCTTCTTCTCGCCATCTTCGGCATCCTCCTTGGACTTCTTCTCCTGAGACATGGTATTTCGCTGATTGGAGATTTTTGAATTGTGAATTACCGGACCAATGTACATCGAACGCAAACTTGACACGATCCCCATATCTGCAAATGCAGCTCCGAAGCAAGCAACTGCTGAAGAAGAAGCAAAAGAAAGCCTAAACCCCAAACCCTCGAAACCTCGAAACCCGAACCCAATCCGGACGACCTGCCCAATCCGCTCACTCCTACAACTACATAAGGTTCAGCTTCGACTTCAAGCACTGTGTACGTCAGACAGCAAGCCTTCTTCTCTGGCTTTGCCTCCTCCTTGGGCTTCTCTTCCGCCTCCTCCTTTTTCCTGCGGTCAGGACCATATACAGATCAGAAGCCCTGAGCCCTGAACCTCTCAACTCTCAACAAACCCGTCACGCTTCCGGGAACGTAAACATTGCGGTCGCCATAACGTGCGCAGGTCCAGAATAGGCAGGTTTTAGGTCTTGTTTCAGTTCGGGGACATGGGCAGAACCAAGGCGCTCCGTTCTGGCAGCAAACACCATGCCCAAACCCAAAGTCACAATGGTCCGATCACGGCTCTCGAAACTACTTTCGTGAAGCGACTCAGTTTGAGTAGCTAACAGACCTGAGCTCAAGGATTCTGGCACTGTGTGAAAGTCAGGTCCGGCCAGTAAGCCGTGAACACTCAATGCTTAAACTTGGCGAGCTCGAAGGCGAAGCAGCGACGTGTCGGACTTGGAGGCGAGACATCAGCTGAAACAGCAGCAGCGAGCGGAGCACAAACGGAACGGAGATGAGATCGAAAGATGAAGGCGAAGTACGTAGCTTCAAGGAGAAGAGAGACCAGCACACGGACAGTCACAAGAACACTTTATCACTGGTGCCGAGGGCCTCTTTTTCTCTTCCGCAGGGGCCTGGCACAGGCTGTTCGATGATCTGGACAAACCTATGAGTTTGGGTTCTGGGCAGTTCGCACTAAAAAACATGACTTGTGGTGAATACGATTTGGAACGTAATTCTGAGTACGAGTACTACCCTGACAGCACGTATTGTCAAGCTTTGAGGCCGAGGCTTTCCCCGAAGCTATGGCTTCTGCGGCTAGGATAAGAGAAGACGGGGTTCGGGGATCAGATGTTCAAGATGTTCCGGAAGACCCACAAGGGCGGCTTTACCGTAAGACACCACAGCCCCAAACCAACTGTAAGGAAGGAATACCCGAGCCACTCCCGGTCCTCGATGCCGCTATAAATGTTATCTTCTGGAGAAACCTTGACCTTGAAAGCCTCCATGCCACCTACGGCAACCCAAAGGTCCTCATCACGAAGTGCTTTTAGCCCTAGATCCCAAAGATCTTACAATGCCCTCGGTAAGACCCAGTACTTAGGTCAGAACCTGGAGAAACGTGGACACCCACATAAGCCCGCTTCAAGATGTCAGTTAAGTTGCCATATACCCGAGCCCTGAAGAACGAAGACCCTATGCATCATCCCCACATCGTCAAACCCTAAAAACCTGCTTCCCGGGAGCCCACAACCCTAAATCCTAAACCTTAACCCCCACCATAGCCTCCGCCGGCTTTACCGGGTGCTGCGCTTCGAAGCTGCTAAGGGCCTGCGAAGTCATGGGAATTTGGTGTAATTATCTTTATTTGCATTAGGGGAACCCTTTGTTGAAGGCATGTTTGGGTTCAGGGTTTGGATCATCTATGACTGATACCGGTTCTATACCTGGGCTCACTGTAAGCTACTAGGTCTCATTTGGTGGGATAGGGCAACTCTCACATAATAACCGAGCTTTCCGACACGATTGCATTCTGGCCCCTGAGGACCAAGTTATTCATCATTCCGGCTCTCCACTCATCATCGTACAAGGAGCCTCAAGTGGGCTCGGTAATCCTTTGCAACACTTGTGACATTGTAACAAGATGGATCTCCCAAGGACCAGAATTCTTTGCCCTAGAATCACTAGAGCTTACAACCCTACAGGACCCTAACCTCGAATACAACACAACCTAAAATAGCAGACACGCACCTGTTAGACCAAATAAGGAAGGAATATCCGAAACCTCGAGGATTGTCGATCACATAACCTGAGCCAACAGCAGCTGGACCTTCATAGGCAACATGGTATGAGCCGTTACACTGCGAACACCCTGAGCGACCCCCTAGATCAAAAACCTGAAATACACAAAATGAAGCACAAATGGCTGATACGAGTGCTACCTAACGAGTAATAACAGTAATGCTGGCAGTGAGCATAGAATGATAACAGCAGATTCGTACTATTGCTGATCAGCCATAAACTACAAGATAAAGCAAAACACTTCCAGCCTCCTGGGCCGAAGCCACCGAGGCCTTGGCCTGCAAGGAGTGGGCCGGACATTTCTGATCGAATCCCCTGGTGTCTCAAGGAGTGAGCTTTGTCGGAATTTTGAAGAGAAAACACCGCTTGGGGGGATACAGTAGCCACCTGGACGGCAAAGGAAGGCGTTGGTGACACTGGCAACTCGAGCTGAACAGGCCGTCCCACGGCTCCATCTTGCAATGAGGAGCTTTCTAGTTCATGGTCCGGATAAGGCCGGATAAGGGCGATCTGGCTTGGGGATTAGCTAGCCCGTGAGTCAAACTAATATGTGCACCATCGGGGACCCGATGTCTGTGAGCTTTGCATGGGCACTGTGACAAACCGACACAGGGACTCACACATTCCTCGGATGCCAACGAAGTGGGCCAGAGGTCCCGGTAACGTGACCATCAACCGCAAGCAACAAGGAACCTTTCAAGCCGCGACCCTTCGAAAAGCCGAAGAGAGCTTGCGTCTCATCATCCCGAAGTGAACCGCGGTCTCGGCTTCCAAGCTAACGCTGACGGACCTAAGCTGGAAGCTCCAACCCCCGAAGCCCAAAGCCACAAAACCAATCCCGAAGTGCGACCTTCTCGGCTGCCGCGATCTTGTTCCGGTGATCCGAAGCCGCCTCCTGGTAAAACGACTCCTTCACCTGAGGTTACGGCTTGAAGGTTCAGGCTTTGCTTAACAGCAGCCCCAGTCAAGGAGAAAGACATAAATCGCGAAGGACATTGAGGACCTGCACTTGGAGCCGCAACCTGGAATCAACATCCCAAACTCCACACCTAGTTCCCCGAACGCCGTCGCTGTCAAGATCGACCAGGTCCAAGAACTCGAGCCTCTGCATCGTCGCGGGCCTTTTTGGCCTCTTCCCGGGCATCTGCAGCCTCCATTCCGAGACGTTCGGCGGCTTTGGAGTTCTTCGGATGCAGCGATTCTCAATATGTCGGCCTTCAGTTGTCGAGGGCTCCGTGGCCCTTCAACGAGTGGCTGGGGCTTGGTTGAGGGCTTGGGCCGACTTGGGTGGACCTTCGGGCTTCGAGAAGATGGCCCTTGGGATGCGGCTATTTACGCACATCGCGAGACTTCCAGGAAGCTGTCGTCATAGGTGGCCATGACCATCGTCATCATCGTCCCCATCACTCACCAAAATCAGGATCAATCACAACAAAACCCCTTTTGATCATCTCGACAGCTTTTCATCGCCGTTACCTTTGGTCATTCGAGGGGCCGGCCTCTTTCGCGGCCTTCTTGGCCTCTTCCTCTTTCGCCTTGGCTTCAGCCGTCTTTGGGTCCCAGGATTCAGACTGTATCACGGCGTCTTTAGGGTTGACGGCTTTGGGCTCATTGTGGCTAACCTGTGACTAGAACTTGATCTGCCCCAAAGTCCAGACCCACAGCCAGGACGGCAGAACTTGGGAAAGACATCGAGGCCGCCACCTTAGCTTTGTCCTCCAGTTCCTTCGCCTGCCATGAACCACAGCCGCCACAAGACACTGAAATCACGCACCCCGAAAGCCCGGATAGCATAAACCCCCAAATTCCAACAGACCCAAACGTGCAAAAAGCACATTTGCCCGAAACGTAAGCACGGCGGGAGCTTCAGGGCCCAGGCTACGGTCTCAGAAACGTGCGGCTACAGCTCACAAAAAGGACTGTGGTACAAAGTTACGTTTCGCAAGTTGGGGTTCGGAGATCCTGTGCTCCGACAGCTCAAAGCATTGCTGCTGCCACAAAACCCTCAGACTGGCCTTGGTAGCCTTGGACGCGGAGTGCTTCTCCGCCTTAGCGGCAAGGGGAATGGGATGCCGAGGATCCTTGCTCCGAGCCGAAAGCACCGATCTCCGAAAAGCACCGCGGGCAAAATTGCCAAAACATCTGATTTTTGTACTTCCACGATGGGCATGAACGATGTTTCAGAAAAAGGTCCTCATACTCTCTCTCCCTCCCGGGCATGCGGAACGTTCGAAATTCCGGGGCCGACAGGCCCACCCATGATGTTCACGTGTCTTTGGGAAAACTGTGAGAAACCAACTTGAAATCTTGAAGAAAAGGCGGCAAGTAATTATCACCATACGGATTTCCGCGTTCTCAAGTTGGCATCGACGAAGGCTTCACATGTAAAAGCATGCACAGGCAAGTTCGACTACATTGAGCCTCTCTCTCTCTCTGCGGTTTGCTTCCATCTGAAGAGCGAAACATCTGAAAGCAAGGAATCCCTCATAATCATAGGGGCTCCAAGAGAGAGGATCGTCAATGAGCTGGACCCAACGTCCAGTAGACACTTTCAGAAACCCGCCTTGTCGGCTTCGGCCTTTTTGGCCTTGGCGATGGCTGCGTACTCCTTGCGCAGCGCCACAAGCAGACGGCAAGGCAAGAAATCAACCCCAGATGATCCTAAGCAGCGTCAGACCTCTGAATGCCGGACCACTAAAACGAAAAGATGCCGACGTCAGCCCTGGAAGCCATACAAAAAAAAAACAAGTACACTCCAAACTCTAGGAAACACCAGTGTTCGCTCCTGCATCCACTTAAGGTGCACTGGGGCAACTCATACTCGGAAAAGAGGATGCAGGCGGGCCGTTTATAGGACAACCTCGTCCCTTCTTCATAGTCTAGTGACTAAAGGAAACCAGGTAGACACAACAAGGATCCGTGCCAGCAGACCTTTGCATCACGTTACTTAAGAAGAAAGCTTCTCAGAGACAACACACTCCGGCTGTAGAACCGGGCCAGCGAGAACCAAGCCGTGCTTCTAAGTGCCCGAAGACTTGCTTGCGGCTTGCGTATCAGTGCAAAGCTCTGCCTCCGCCTCAGCGGCGGCCGCTGTGGCGGCACTGGCAGCGCTGGCGGCGGCCTCCGCAGCGCAATGTAAGCTTGAGGAGAGCTGTGGCTTTCGGAATAATCAGACGAGAAGTTTACGGATTTGGGGCCCAAGATGAAGCGCGAAACAATAAACCTCTTCAGCTCGGCTGCTCTCTGAAGTGTCGGGTTCACAAGGGGTCGTGCAGGAGATACTGCTCCTCTCAGAGCTTGATGGGTGTGCTAAAACATTCGTTGCATGAGATCATGCTCGTATATGCTTCTAGGCTATGTATGTAAAAGCCACCGATGGTTTTGTACCTTATCCCAACATGCCCAAGTGGCTTCAGATTCTTAATTGTTTCTCTCATGCGGATCAAGTGACTATGTAAGGGGACGGAACGGCGGGTGGCGGGGACGTAATGTGACTCAGTTTGAAAAGAAAGACGTCTGCAAGGATGTGCTATTGACATGGCTTTGATGCCTTGACGTGGCTTTGATGGCATAGCGGACAGAACAACGTTCAGAATTTCGAGGTGAGGTTGCATTCGCGTCGGTCTCCTATTGACAGAAGCTACTCTATTGAGGTGGAATTTGCCAGCCGAGCAGGTCCCAATCGCATCATGCCTTTCAGGTGCAAGCAGTTGCAAGTAATCCCAACGTCATCGGAGTCTGCGCAGAATTCCACAAGCCGTTTGCCCTTTGCACGGACCGTCTTGTCCCTAGCTTTGTGATTGCGACACGCGGTGAAGCTCCCCATTCGAGGGTAGCACCAGTTGCACTGCGTGCACTGGAACTGTTTCCAGTGCAGCAGTGCCGACTCTGTGTATCTGCCACAAGGCCCCCCCCCCCCCCCCAGCATCTCCCGAAAGCGAGGCCAGGACCCCAAGTGCACTTTTGTTGTAGAATAATCACACTCCACGAGATTCCACAAAATGAAGGGTGCATGAGAGCAGCACCTGCGAGAAGGAAGAAACAATAAAACCACCAATGTGCCAGACTGTCGCAGAAGCCAGCAACTCCTTAACGAACCTGTGCAAATCCCTGGCCTTGGTGAGGCTTTCCCGCTGCTTTTGCCTCATGACATGACAATGACAATGAGCTGAGGGTCAGGATTGAGGGTTTAGGGTCAGGTATCTTCACTGTTCAGAGGCTTTGTGGTTTGTGGGGGTCAAGGCAAGCCTTAAGGGTTGTGCCTCCAGGTCCAACGCCGTCAGGTCAGCGCAAAATGCAGACTGTTCAAAAGCGCAAACCCAAACCCCGAACCGCGAAATCTCGCTTGAAGCCAGCAAGCCTGTGAAAGTTGAAGCCCCCCAACATGTTCCCCCTAGAAAACATAGCCGAGCCTCACCCAGACCTCAAACCCTAATCGCCCCAAACAAAAACGATTACAGCAACATGTAACGAAGATGCCCTGCCTGGCAGCTGCCTCGGCCTTTTCCGCCGCGAGCTTCGCGGCAGCCGCCTGGGCCTCTTCCGCGGCCTTCGTTACATTTTCCAAGCTTCAACCAGGCTTGAAGGCTTGACTGGAGTAGGCTTCCGAAGGGAGCTTCAATCGTTGCTAGGCTTTGTCCATGACTTCAAGGTTCAAGCGCGGGCTTAGTGGGTTTTGAGCGGGCGGCATGGCCTTCAAGTGTCAGAACTATCAAGTTTTGACGGATTTCAGGTCTTCGCACGATTCTTAAACTTATTAGCACTGCCTTGGTTGGGGTCGGGAATTCTTCGGAGGCTAGAGCTTTGGGCTTCGGCGGCTTCGGAGCTTAAAGCCTGCGACTCGGATGCAGCGGGTTCGCACAAATGCAAGGACGGAGGGTCACGTTGCAAAAGAAACACGAAAGAAGATGGATTACAGGGTTTCCATCTTTTCAGTTAAGGGAATCCTGAGCAGTAGGCAGCTGCTGAGCCTGACAGAAGGTATCTCCCGACATAGCACTATCAAGAAGCTCTCCGTCCTTTCGGTTTCCTGAGGTGATCCATACTTCCCTTGCCTTGGCGGCCTTTTTACGAGCCTCCTCCTCCAGCTTCTTGCTGGGGTCCTGCTTGCCGGACAAGGCCACGGACTTGGGTCTTGAAGATTCTAGAAGGGTCCAAGATCTGTGTCTTGATCTGCAAATCTGGCCAGCAACTTAGCCCTCCTTTTCTAGGTTCGTTCTGGTTTTGAAACGTTGGTGCAGGCTCGGTGCTTGGGAACTCCCCGGCGGCTGACATCGAAACCACATTTAAACAGCTGAAGTCCTGAAGTCCTGAAGTGCCAAAACACTAAAGCATACTAAAGCTCCAGCTTTGGTTCTGGCCTCTGGCTTCACCTCCTCCACATCATCCGACTTGGACTCGTCGTCCTACCAAGGTTACAGCTTTTGTACTTAAAGGCTGCAGCGGCGTATGCCTGTGGCTCGAAGATGCTCGAAGCCACAGATCTTGACGAGACTTCAAGGGTCTTCCCGCAACTTCGGCATCCTAACACCCTGACAGCCTGCGCTTCAGAACCCCTGAGACTCGGGTTTTGGATGCTGAGAGTAGGCTGCAGCACCTTGTCAGCTTTCTCCTTGGATTTCTCCTTCTCCTTATCATCATCGTCATCGTCGGAGTCGTTATCATCGCTGCTGTCGGCCTTTTTCTTCTTCTTGTCCTGCTAGGGGCACGAGGTCAGAAGGAGACAGCTTCAGCGTCCAGGCTGACCAGAAATCTTTAGGTGTATCAATGGCCAGAGCAAGACTCCAGGCTTGACCATCAATCTAGATGATATCTACACGCAGACAGAGATGCTGCGCTTTCGCCATGCCGGCATTCTCAGATGTCGAAAGAACAGCCCGGACCCAAACCTGGCTGATCTTACAAGTCTCTCCACAAGACGAAACCTCTGGCCGAAGAGCATCCAAAGGTACAACAACAGACGTCCCAAATCGTCCGAAATAGTGCCGAAAGAGCCTAACCCTAAAAGGTCACAACCAGGAACGTCGCCTCTTCGGAGCTATCGCCTGGCCGCTCTTTGATGCACGGCTCAGAGTCTTGAGCTTTGGTCTTTGTGTTCGGCCCATTACATCT